TCCAGACCGGGGACAGGACCGGGTACAGGACCTGGTTCCGGACCGGGTTCCGGACTGCTTCCCGCCATCTTACCGTGATGAAAACCGGGTCTTACCGTGATGAAAACACCTCCACGTGCTCGCGGGGTTCACGCGCAGGTACAGTTGGCCGGACGAGCCCTCAGCGGCTGGGCAGGATCAGCTCGGGTTAAGCCCCGCCCCCTCTGCACCCAACCACCAATGGCAGGCTGTATCCCGGCAACAAGCACCAATCACAGGAAGCGTTTCCCGCCCCTCAGCCGTCCCATCCAATCAGATCAGATTACAGTTACCGGAGGAGAATCGACCCGGAAACGAGACCCGGAAGTGAACGCGAACATGTCCGGGTGAGGATTTTCCAAACTAAAAGGCCCTTTAAACCGTACTGAGATCAATCAGTCAATCAATAAATGTTTATTTATATAGCACTTTACAACAACCGGAGCTGACCAAAGTGCTTTAGAGAATAAAAACTGATCAAACTATCGAAATATACAAAGACAAATACATTGGTGACAGAACCCAGTATACAGAGATTTTACGTGCAAAAAGCCATTCTGAACAAATGCGTTTTAAGTTGAGCTGAGATGACCCAAGTTTCAACGTAAAGCCCGAAAACACTTATAAAGTGCGTTCAGGAGCAGACAGGACTTTAATAGTGGAGGGAGGGGGTCCACATTAAGGAATGGATAGCGCCCAGTTATCCAAAAATATTGAAAAGAGATGAACAATGTAATGCAATCTGTTTATAACGTCACCATCCCTCTCAACTTCAGGACCATGTACCCTGGACTGAAAACACCGGCAATGGACACAGTAAATAAATACCTTTGGAACATAATGCCTGCTGCTGGAAAAAAAAAAGCCATAACTAAGAAATGGATGACACAGTCAGCCCCCACCATTTCAAACTGGATTGAAACCATGACTGAAATAAGAAAAACATGGAACAAATTACTTTTAAAATTCACTTGAAACTTGACATTTTTCACAAACTTTGGTCAAAATGGGACAGGGTAAAATGTGCCGTGCTTCAAAATGGTTCATGATTCATCTCTACTTTCAACAAGCTGCATTTTTGCCAACTGCTCTCTGTGTCGAAC